GGCCCGAAATTCTGAACAATTAATTAATAATTTAAATCAACAAATTTTTGTACTTCAGAATAATCAACCTATAAATAATCAATATAAAGGAATAGCAGGATACCCACCCCAAATTTTAATGGCTATCCTGATAAGGATCCAGAAGAATTTATTGATTCTTTTTACTCATATCTTGTGGCTGTAGAAATTAATGTATTAGCTGGACATGCTAACAGAATACGAGCACATGGTTTTTTTGAAATATATTTCAAGGATGATGCTAAAGATTGGTATAAAAGATCTCTTTGAAGAAAGAATTGGGAATTGAGAAATTTATTAGATAATACTGGACAAGCTACTTTAGCTCTAGCTCAAAGACGAATAGCAGCACAACTTGATGCAAATTTAAGACATAATGCTGTAGGTCAGGCTGGAAATATTGTTATTCCTGCTTATATAGTATTCGATGAAGATTGGTCTTTTGTAGATGAACGCCCAACTAATCGTATTGTAAATCTACCAAATGCTAATGGTGGTCAATCTATAGTAGCAGATGGGATTTGACTTGGGCAAGTAATATACTGGCTCAAGACTAACTATCCTACAGTTACTGCAGAAAAACAATGAATGCTTTTTGGTTCAACAGTTCAAGATAGCAATTCTGTTGGCCATTTCTATTTCAAGTTACGTAAACTTGCTAGGCTTGCTGATATTGATGAACAACAAATTTGATTACAATTTATTCGTAGTATCTCTCCTGATAATCAATTAGAAATTTAATGCATTGGAATTAACAAGCCTATATCTGAATTGGTTACAGAACTTGAAGAAATTGAAAGATATAAGGCAAAGCAATTATCTGGAGTATATTTTACTCCAAAATCTACTATAGAGCATCAACAACAATTTTATCCTAATGCAGATATTAATAGACTTGTAGAAGAATGAATCATTTCTAGAGAAAAACAAAGTCTAAAGCCAAAACAAATATCTCAAGTTGATTCTAATACTGAAGCAGTTAGACAATTTATAGAGATCATAAAGCAAGCTAAAAAAACTTTAGCTAAGAAGCCTGGTCCTGGTAAAAAAAAAGCAGACAAAATTCATATAGATCGCTTTTTAGATGATTTTGCAAAAGACAATTCTGATCATGATTCTAGTGGTTTTCATGATGATGATGATCTTATTGAAAATATTCGTAAACAATTAGAAGACCTTCATATCAATCAGACTAAAATTGCTAAAGCTATGAAAAAGATTTCTAGCAAGCCTAAATCTTCTCGTCGCAAAACTAAATCAAAATCAAAATCTAAGACCCAAAAAAAGAAATCATCAAGTCGATCAAAGCGTGTTAATGCCCATATAATTTCAGATGAATCATCTTCAGAATCTAGTAGTAGTGAAAATGATAATATAATATTTAGCGAAAATGAACTTAAAACCAATACCTTGTCATATTCGCAAAGCAAATCAGAATCCTCTGAATCATCTAAAAGTGAATCTAGTAGTTTAAAAAGCAATTCAGATGAATATGAAGTCAATACTACAAAAAAAAAAAATAAGTTTTTCTAATATTAAAAGCTCAAAGAAGCACAAGAGTGCCAAGCCAAAAAAAACTTCTAGCAAAAAATCTAGTAATATCTCTTCTGTTAAAAAGAGTAGTAAAGATACTAGATCACTTAAAATTCCAACAGATAATATTAGTCTAAATACATTTTTCACTATTTTACGATCAATGGTTGATTTATTTACTTGTACACAACCTAAAGAAGTATCTATTAATGGATATAATATAATTAATGCTGAATTTATTGCACTAAAAGATCCTGTTCTAAATTATTTTACTTCAAATTTCTCAGACAAGGAATGAGAAAAGTTTTGGCATAAGATTACTATGATATTCTCACATATCTTACAACCAATATCAGATCTAATTCAAATTGCTTCTCAGCAAGCAAATATACTACTCCAAAAGACCCTAGAAAAGATGCAACTGGAAGCAGAAATTTCATAGCCAAACTCTATAGAAATTAATTTTATTTGTAAAATTATTCCTAATGATGTTGCAACTATTACTTGCCAAATTACTTTACCATCAGGAAAAAATATTTAAGTACCTGGTGCATTAATAGATAGTGGAGCAAACTGCTCTCTTAAATCAAAAGGTCTTGCAAAACTATTAGGAATGAATATTGACAAAAATAAAAAATCTTCTGTAAAATAGCGTAATAATTCTTTAGAATTTATTGGAACTTGTTATAATATACTAATAACTTTTGGCTATGAAGATAATAGTTATACAATTACAGAAGACTTTCTAGTAATGGACAATGATAAACTTTAAATATTATTAGACACTCCTTTGCTTGATCATGCTGGATGAGAGCCTATTGTCAAGCGTGAATTCAAGTTAATACATAAAGATAAAGTAATTACTATATCTTTTTCAATATATAAGTCCTAGAGAGAGATATTTAAACCAGAAATCAATCTGACTTTTCACAAGCATGATTTAATCCAAGTATCCACTAATTCTTCTAGTTCATCTAGTAAGAATAATAATATATTATTAGAGGAATGGCATACTTCTGCAGGTTTTAGCCCAGATTTTAGTCTATCTAGTGAGAATGATTTATTGCAAAGCAAATCATTAGATGTTGAATCAAAGATGAGTCAAAGACTCAAAGCTCAGCTTCCTCAAGATTTTATCTCTTCTTCGAATCATGACCCAAGTCTAGGCTCAAAAAGCTATTGCTCTGCAGTAAAAAAAAATAATTAATAAATCACAAGTTTGAGATATTTTTATATGGAAAAAATGTATGAATCACTTTTTTTAGGATATATTAGAATATAATTTACTATCTTTATCTTTTAACTGATGAATAAGATTATATATAGTACCATTTCAGATTAATTTTTTTAATGTAAGTTCAAATAATTTTATACTTCTATTAGCTATATCTATCTTAATTTGATTGCATTCTATATCTTTCTGTTGTTTAATAGTTTTTAAGGTTTCTTCAGTTAATTTAATAAATTTTTAACATAAATTATCTTTAGCTTCTTTGATTCTAGCATTAACCTCGTCTTCAGAGTATTGCGAAGCAATGATAGCATGTAGTGCTGAATCTTTGATTTTTCTTTGGATCTTAATTACTTGGATATTAATATGACTCTTTGAGTCATTCTTATAGGGCTTGCAAAGCAAGCTATTAGGTGACTCTTCAGGTCTTGAAACTAGTACTTCTATTATAGAACAGGAATGCTCTGCATCTATAGGATTATATCGAGATTTTTTTTTTCTTTGATACCTATTAACTTCATATTTTAAAAATGCCTCTATAATAGGACTAATACTACTAGCTTCACTTTCTGATAATAGATTTTTTTTTAAAGTTGTAAGCTAATTCCATCCAGCTTTTATTAATAAAGATGGTAGTTGAGTAAGAAGATTTGAATAATTTTCATAAAAAGCATATAATATCATGAAATATATTTTCATATAAAATTATAATCTTTCAAAAAATGTCAATATTTATTTATTATAAAATTTTTCTAAAATATTATAACAGAACACCAATTCTATTTTAATAACATTTACTGAATTTATATATTAATATTTTTTTATAAAAATATAACCTCAAGGTCACATACTATATTGTATAAGACGTAGTATATAATGCAGTAGTCACATGATATTGTGACCTGTAGATCACATACTACCAATTTGAAATACCAACTTGAACTATTCTATAATGATTTGGTCATGTTCAGTCAAAATGCGATTTATTAATTTTTTTATATTCGAAAAATAGTGATAGAGCATGGCATACTGATACCCATAAACAAATATATATGCTATTTTAATATGATCATGTAGTGCTAATTTGATTTTTATATGCTGGAAAAAAAATAAGTATTGCAGGTCTGCTTTTTATTTTGGTCTAAGTTGAGGCTAAAATAGCGATCATGAGCTATTTGGGTTTATATAAGTCATGGATAGTAATTATTATTTATTACTATCGCTACATAGTATTAGAACAATTTTGCATGGTTATGGCTTATGTTACTCTTCTGCAGAATTAATTCTCACAGTTGATTTTTTTATTAATAAATACGTATTATGAATAAAGCGAATAATGTCTAGACTCTTTTTCCGCAATAAGAAAGTGACTTAAAAAGGCTATAATAGTAATATATATAATGTTTTTAATCAGTAGTATTATCAAAATTCATATGTTGTATGAACTCAGAATCTCTGCCATTCTCCCAGGATTGTCAGATCTAAACCTACCTTAAGCGATCGTTGATTATAAGGAGATTAATTTTACCAGAAAAATGGTAAAATAAATTCAGTATTTGAACCTTACAACCGAATAGATTTGCTTTATATAGTGTGATCTAGATTGCATTACCTTAACGCGATTACTAATCATATAACTTTTTTTCTAGCAAGTTAGATCTAGCTGAATAGGCGGTATAAAAATAAGCAAGTTTTCACTTTAAGATAAGTCTTATGAAATAAGGATGCTATGCATCTAGCAATAACATTATTTTTGCTCTTATATGTATTTTTTGTCATGTTAACTTTGTTGAAAACAAAGGTTACACATTCACAATTTATTTCCAAGGTCAACTATCGTATATTGTTTATATAAGATTTTTTATTTCTAAGTTAATTTCTACTTACTATGGGTTCTTTTATATTTCTTGCAGAGTTTCTCAAATGCCAATTATTAACCTTAACTATCGTCAGTAGAAGAAACCCTGAAAATAAAACTTTTACAATTAAGATTTCTGATGATAAAAAGTATGAATTGCTCAAACATATGGTAAAAAAACACTTGGCACCTTTATTTGATTCCATC